TGGTTGCCTCAGTTCAGAGGTAGGCTCCTAGCAAAGAGGAAAACAAGATTATTTACCACCAAGGCTTAATCAACTTCAAAATCACCCATCTTGTGTGTTCTGATCAAAGGCAAAAAACCATCCGAATCTCTACGCTAAAAAATATATCCTCACCTCCTTGGGTGTCGGTTTTCTCCGAATTATAGCACAACCGATAACCTGCAGACCCAACATTATACCACCGATGACGAGGTATGAAGTTGGTACACGGCTTAACACTCCCGGATCCTCATGATATCTAAAAGAAGTAACATCGCATTCATCGAGAAAGTCCTGATGTGCAAGGAAACTAGAAATTATGGCATTACATTAATTAGAACAGTATTGCAGTATGCAGTAATGTTTCCCAACCGGGAAAACCTGCTGACTTGCCTCGTTGTACTGTTCACCGGTAGGTTGTCTGGATTCACGAAAGCCATCTGAATCGGTGTGAAGACAAGGGCTCCCAGACCAAAACCTGCCGCAATTAAGCCAAGCACGAAACCACCGTTAACGGGAAACCACTAAAATAGAAAAGAGTATTTGCAGATACGCCTCAGTTTAAGGCATAGAAATATGTTTCTAAAAGTGACAAGCTATACATAGATTTTGAGTATTCACATAGTTAATGACAATACGGACATACGCTAGCAGCAGCCTGCATGACGACGGAATAGGCGAAACCCACGCCCAAACCAAGAGAAATGAGATGGGTCACAAGAACCCAAACGAATCCATACCGTAGAGCAATACATGTCAGCATAAAGGCCCCGCTGAAAAGCAATAAAAGTAAAGTGGAATACTTACACGGCACAAATCAAAATTGCAGAAAATTCGACACAGATAAAAAAGGTAGCAGTAGAAGCAGCGGCAGATGGTTAAATTAATTTTGACCAGTTTAAAATATTGCAACATGCAGTAAACAGGAGCAAATAAAGTTCGAAAAATACAAATCGCCGATGTGACATAAACAAACCTGTTAATTATACAGCCGAGTATAATGACCAGTTTTACACCCAATCTCGGTGCTAAAATACCACCAAAGGGCATGAAAAGACCCTGAGCTGCCAATGCTGCAGCGGAGACCCAGACAACCAGTCCATTATTGAAGTTTGGGTCAATGTACTTAGCAACATAGGAGGCGAGGTAAGGAGTCATGTTCCCGATTGTATACATACAACCGAAGGACAAGTGAATTAAGAACCCAGCTATGACATTCAATACACCGTGTATTGTATCCTTATTCACCATCATGGAAAACGAGCAATTCAGTGTTTGATTCGCATGCTGACTGCTTTATACCGCTCTCGAAATGGACTGATAGCTGATTGGATCGCCCTAGTCCAATGTCGTGATAGGCTGTTCAGTGATGCAGCAACTTTTATTCAATTCGCTGTCACTAACCAATAACAGAGATGCCGTGTTGTACCAATCAAAACCTGCCTTTAGAGGGCGAAATTATTTGCCGGTCGAGGTGGTGAAGGGTTTCGTGCACGTTCAAAGGTGAAAGTGCATTTTGGTGAACAAACCCGTACTTCAGATGCTTTTGTTTAAGAAAGCCGATACCATTGGTGGTGCTGGCTTCACAAATGAAAGTGCCCAAAGCTAGAGCCACCAAATGAAAACTTAAAAGGCATGTTCAATTTATTTTTGTACAAAAAAGTAAAATTAGTGGTTAC